AGCTAAATGATAAAAGGAGCAAAAGACTATAGCTAAAAGAAGTAAAAAGCTAGCTAAAAGCAGACAAAGATTAGGCAGAAGGTAAAAGTAGCAAAAGGTTAGCTAAACACTAAAAGGAGGAAGATGCAAGTTGAAAGATAAAATAAGCTGAAAGGTAGCTAAAAGCTAAAAGTAGCAAAAGACTATAGGTAAAAGTAGCCAAAGGTTAGCTAGAAGGTAAAAGTAGCAAAAGACTTGTTAAAAGAAGTACAAGGCTAGCTAAAAGCTATGTGTAGAAAGCAACAGTTACGACACAAAATAGTAGCTAAAAAACTATTTAAAAATAAACTAAAAGCAGCACAAGGAGCAGATTTTAAAGACAATAATGTTTTTGAAGGAGCTGAAGAGATCTCAGTGTATTTTTAATGGAGGTATCTTGATAAATAAAACTAAGTATTTTGAAAAGTTCCACCAAACGTCAAAGCAGCCACCTCCTGAAGGAGCTAAATATTTTTTATGAGCACAAAGTACACACAAGATTACAGAAAACACCCGGAAAAACAAAAGGAACCTTTAAAATAATAAAAAAGACAACAGTGTAAAAATGCTGACTCAGCATGCATAAGCCCCAATGTTCTTTTTTTTTTTTACATTACTTAAGATTTATTTGTGTTAGTTGTTTTTTTTAGTTTTGCAAAAACAAAAAAATATAAAAATACTGTTAAACAGATGTTTGTCTCTTAAACAAAACAGCAAACCCAAATCAGATCAGAGGGCGCCTCAGAGCCTTTTTTATTAAAAACAAATTTACAACAAATCAGCTTCAACTTGTTCTGATTTAAAAAAAAAAAGTGAAATTGTTCTCCAAATGATCTGTCAAGAAGAATATTTATTTCCCTGCCCACTTTAGTTGCTCTGAGTCAATGTTGCCTTCAGGGAACAGATGCTGCCTGCTGTAAACGGCTTTACGTCCCACTAACACCAGTCCAAACGCACACACTCACCCTGTATCTGGAATGAGGTCCCATCGCTATGGCAACCCTGGCGTATTGGCTGATGGGTCGTTTGTATCCGACGGCGGACACCGGCCTTTTCTTCATCTGTGAGGATTTACTGTTCAAATGGGACACGCACAAAACAAGGCGATGAGTAAACAGCAGCTGGGTCTCTGATGAACTTCTGAACGCAGCACATTTTCATGTGAAAGCACTTCTGACCTCTCTGCAGAAACGAAAGGCTTGAACTTCCACTGATCCTCCTCGGGGTCAAACGTCAGCCTGTTCATGATCTTATTCTTCTCCTCCGGAGGGATGAAGTTCTCTATGATCAGATACCTGCGTGGACAACGTGCACAGCGAGACGAAGATGGCGTTACAGTCGAATGCCTTTGATGCTCTGTAATCTCCAGGCTGGAGATTCAAGGCTGAAACACTGAACTTTGTCATGTTTTCCATCAATAAAAACTCTCTCTTTACGAACACAAACTAAACTTGGCTCTCTGAAGTTCATGTCTCTCCAAACTGTACTCCACTTTAAAGCACTCGAGTCTCTTTTTGTTGCTTTACAACATATTTGCCGTACTTGTCGCCATACATGTCGCACCACGTCTAAATTGCATCAGTCCAAATATGTCTAATAAAGTGGAAATAAAATAAAAATTTGTTGCTTCGCCGTATAAGTCACATCTATTGTGTGTCACCGCTGACCACCTGGAAACGTCGGTCGGTGTTGTGCCAAAAATTGATTGGCTGCCAAATGGCGGGAACGTGCACGTCTTTTCCTTAATAAATGCACTTTAATGATCAAATCAGCTGCATTTCATCTGGGCAGCGAAATGCAGCTGATTTGACGTTTGCTCCAGGAGTTGCAGAGCGAGACGAAGGTGGCTGCTATGGCAAGCCAAGTGTCTCATTAATAGCCACTTTTACATATTAATGAGACACTTGGCTTGCCATATTAGTCGAGGGCCCTCTAGTGGCTGAAAATGGTAGTGTTCAATATTTTCCATGTCAGAATGACTGAAATCATCAGATCTCAGCCAAAAATTGGGTTAGAAATATGGAGAAAAAACATAAATCACTTTGCTGTATAAGTCGCGGGGCATGCTAATGTGTGCAAAAAGGTGCGACTTATACAGCGAAAAATACGGTAATCCATTTTTCAGCTTCTTTCAGAATAAAACTCCAGTGAAGCGTGTTACGGGGTGTTTGCGCGACTCACTTGAACTTTAGCTCTCTGGTGAGCTCGTTCTGGGTTTGCTCCAGCTCCTGGCGGCTCCTCACGTGCTCGTCGTTCACGTCCTTGATCTCCGCCTTGATGCACTGCAGCTTGGCGTAAAGCTGAAAGGAGAAAACAGACGGTGAGAGGGGCCGAACGAGCCGCTGACGTTCTGGTCTTCGGCCTGCTGCAGCCTGGTCGCCCATGGCAACGACACTGGGAGCTCTGAGTGAGCCAGCAGCTGATGGGAGCACACCGTAGCGCAGCACGCCGCTCTCTTTCCTCGAGTGCTGTTGAGTAACACTACTCTGCCTGAACTGTGATGCTGCAGCTCAAGTCCATTCTCTAATGTGAGTGAGAAATGCCTTTTAAAGGATTTATAACAAGAAGCTACATTTACCATTAACTAGAGAAAGTGAATGCTTATTGCAGAAGAACTTGCTCAGAAGCAGCTGAACTTAGCTAAAACAACATGCTGAAATGTAGCTTAAATGGAAGAACAAGCCTAAATAAACAGAAGAAAGCAGAAATAACACATATTTGCTGAAATAGGTTTAAATAAGCAGAAATTAGCAGAAAAACAAGGAAGTAGCTAAAAAATGGCTGAAATTATCAATGAAATTACTGAAAAGTAGCTGAAAGGCAGAAAGAAGCTTAAACTACCAGAAGGAGGTAAAAATGCTGAAATAAGCTAAAAAATGTGGTGTTAGCTGGAAAAGCTAAAATTAGCCTAAAAGCAGCTAAATAGTAGCTGAAATATCTTCTTCTTTCGGCTTTTCCCTCTTCAGGGGTCGCCACAGCGAGTCATCCTCCTCCACCTCACTCTGTCCTCTGCATCCTCTGTCCTCACTCCAACTACCTTCATGTCCTCTCTAGCTGAAATATCAAAATAGCTAAACCTAGCATATTTAAGCTGAAAGAAGCATAACAAGCTGAAATTAGCAGAAATGAGTTAATTAGGTGGAAAGTAGCAGAAATTACCATGAAAAATGTTAATTTATCTGAAAACAGCAGCAATTAGCTAAAATATGCTAAAAAGCTAGCTGAAAACGTAGAACATGCTGAAATTAACAGAAAAAAGCAGAAAGAACATGTTTGCTCAATTAGGCTGAATGAAGCAGAAATGTGCACAAAAAAATGGAAATTATCTAAAAAAAGCCAAAAAAAAAAAAAGCTGAAAAGTTGCTAAAAATAAGCAGAAAGAAGCTTAAATTACCAGAAAGAAGTGGAGACAGCACATTTTCCCTGAATTAGGGGGAAAAAACTCAAAATTACTGCAAAAATGTGGAATTAGCTGAAATAGCTAAAATTAGCATAAAAACAGCTAAATAGAAGCTGAAATAGCAGAAAAAGCTGAAACTTGCAGAAATAAACAGAAAGGGGTATAACAAGCTGAAATTAGCGCAAAGAATGTAAAAAGATCACAAAACAGCTGAAATTGGTTGAAAAAGTTTAAATTTGCAGAAGGAAGCTGAAGCAGAACAAAATGTTAAAGGAGCAGTAAAAGTTTGTAAACAGATCTAAAGATTTGAAGGATGTAAAATGAGCTCAATTCATTTTCTGTGAGGAAAAAGTGGCGGAAAAGGCTAAATATTTCAAAAAGCTAAAGTTGCACCAATACCAAAAGTTATAGCTCACTTCTCCTGAAAGAGCCGAACGTTTTGATTCATGATTTGTTGAAATAGCTTGAAAACTGCGGGATGAGAAAGATGCCGAAATGTACGGAAGAAAAATGGATCACAATAGTGTGAATGCTTCATAAACATTCACACTGTTAACCTTTTTAATGTTTTGTTTATACTGGAGAGAATAATTCTGAACCCAAACATTAACTTGTTATAATTTTATAATGAACGTGGGCTTTAAAGTCTCCATCTCCATCTTCTAATGCTTATTTGTGGTTGAATGGAGACAGCAGGTCCAGACCTCTCCTCAGCAGCACTCTCCAGCTCTTCCTGGAGGACCTAGAGGATTTCTCAGGCCAGAGAAGATAGGTTCTAGGTCTTCCCCAGGGTCTATTCCCAGTGAAGTGTTCCCAGAAAACCTCCAAGAAGAGGTGTCCAGGAGGCAACCTAATAGATGTCTGAAACATCTCAGCTGATTCCTCTAAATGTGAAGGAGCAGTGAATCTACTCTGAGCTCCTCCCAGATGATGGAGTTCCTCACCTTATCTCTAAGGCTGAGCCCGACCACCCTACAAAACAAGCTTATTTCGGCCACTAGCTCGTTCTTTCAATCGTGATCCAAACTTCATGACCATAAATGAGGGTTGGAACATAGACAGACCAGTAAATTGAAACCTTTGCCTTTCGACTCAACGCTTTCTTCACCACGACCGACCGATCAACGTCCTCATTACTGAGGACGAGGTCCCAATCTCTCCCGCTCTATCCTACTCGTTCACAAGACGCCCAGATTCTTGAACGCCACCTGAGGCACCACCTCACACTGGTCTGTGATCCACCCCAGTACACGCTAAAGATCTTGGCCTGAAGACACCAACAGAACCACATCATCGGCATAAAGGAGAGACGCGACCCTGAGGTTCCCCAACCAGACACCTTCTTCTTTAGGACTGCTTCTTGAGATGCTGTCCATGAACACCACATACAGGATCGAAGACAAGGGACAGTCCTGCACCGAGAACAAGCTCGAGTAAAAGTAAAGGGATTGTTAGTAAAGTTTAAAGTAAAAAACAACAACCGGTCTCTAGAAGAAGAGTGATCAGAACGTTCTTACATTAGGATAACAAGAGTGAGTGAGGAAAATGTACATCTGTGTGGCTTTTTGGACTAATTTACAGATAAACCCTTGAGTCTTCTTTGCATCGCTTCACTTTGGATGTTTTACCTTCTTAAGCTTCTTGGTTTTGGCTTCGACCTCTTGTTGCAGAGACGTGAAGGTTTCTCTCAGCTCCAGCGTCTCCTCATCCTGGCTGAACATCTGCTGCTGGATCTCCCTCTCCCTACGGGACTGAAACACCAAACAACATCATGAGGTAAACGTCCACAGTTTGAGATTTACGAGTTGACCAGGAAGCAGTTTACACTAGAGAAATTGCATTTCCTGCAAAAATGCAGTGTGAATTCTTATTGTAGAAGAACTTGCTGAAAAACAGCTGAAATTGATTAAAAAGAAATGAATTAGCTTAAAGTAGCAAAAGAAAACAGAAATAACACATATTTGCTGAATTAAGCTTGAATAAGCAGAAATTAGCACAAAATGTAGGAAATTAGCCAAAAAAACAAGAAAAAAACTAAAATAGCTGAAAAGTAGCTGAAAAGGCAGAAAGAAGCTTAAACTGCCAGAATGAAGTGGAAAGAGCTGAAACAAGTTTAAAAAAGTGGAATTAGCTGAAAAAACAAAAATTAACATAAAACATCTAAATAGTAGCTGAAATAGCATGAAAAGCTGAAACTAACATGACAAGCTGAAATTAGCATAAATAAGTTTATTAGCCTGAAAGTAGCACTTGAAATTAGCTGAAAAAATGTTTTTTTTTAAAAAGGTAGCTGAAAAGTTAAAACAAGCTTGAATTAGCATAAAAAAGCAGAAAGAACACGTTTGCCAAATTAGGCTGAAAAAAGCAGAAATGAGCACAAAAAATGGAAATTATCTAAATTTAAAAAAAAAACAACCTTGAAATTAGCAAAAAACAGCTGAAAAATAGCTAACAAAAGCATAAAGAAGCTGAAATTACAAGAAGCAAGTGGAGACACCACATTTTTGCTGAACTACGCTGAAAAGAGTTGAGTACAAAAAATGTGGAATTAGCTGAAAAAGCTTAAATTGGCAGCTAAAAAGTTGCTGAAATAGCAGAAAATGCTGAAATTTGCAGAAGTTGAAAGGAACATAATAAGCTGAAATTAGCTGAAAGAAATTAGAAGCACAAAACTGTAGTTAAAAATAATCTGAAAGGAGCACAGAACAGCTAAAAAACTGCTGAAATTAGCAGAAAGTAGCTAAAAAAAGTTTACTGTAACTGCACAAGGAAGCTGAAAGAAGCTGAACAAAAGGTGAAAGGAGCAGTAACAGGTTGTAAACAGATCTAAACATTTGAAAGATGTAAAATGAGCTCAATTCATTTTCTATGAAAAAAAAAGGCAAAAAATATTAAATATTTCAAAAAGCTAAAGTTGCACCAATATCAAAAGTCATAGCAGGATTGTCCTGAAAGAGCTGAACGTTTTAATATGATTTGCTGAAATAGCTTGAAAACCGCAGGACGAGAATCACACCGAAAAATGTACGTAAGAAAAATGGACCACAATGTTGTGAATGCTTCATAAACATTCACACTATTAAAGAAAATTAAAAATTACATGAAAGCAAACAAGTGGCTGCGTTACCTGCTCAGCAATCTCCTGCCTTTTCATCTCAAGCATCTTCTGCTGCTCATTGGTGTGATCGATGATGTTCTTCCCTCCAACCAGCAGCTTGCTCTCCATGGCCTGAAAAGGTACGAGCAATATTTGTATACATTTTTTTACAAAGCACAATAAAAGTCAATCGAAACCAGCTATCCAGGGAAAGAGTCAGTAAACTAACAGAAATAGGTGAATCTTGATACCAAGGGATCAGCTAAGCATCTTCAGTTCATCTCATTTAAAGGTACAGTACATCAAGAGCATGTCTCTGTTCATTCATCAATTTTCTGCAGATTGTCTGCAGTCGGGTCGCCAAGGCAACGGGAAAACCTAGACATCCCACTTCTTAGATACTCTTCAGCTCCTTAAGTGTTCACAGGACCAAAGAGATGACAGAGACCTCCCCAGTGAGTTCTGGGTCTGCCCCATAATCTCCTCCCAGCATCCTAATCAGATGTCTGAACCACCTCAGCCGACTTGTTTCGATGAGGAGCAGCAGCGGCTCTACTCTGAGCTCTCTGGACGACTGAGCTCCTCGGCTCATCTGTAAGGCTGAGCCTGGCCACCCTTTGAAGGAAGCTTATTTCAGCCGCTTGTATCCAGGATCAGGATCCACCCTTCTTAACCACAGGTGACGGGTTCAAACCAGTAGCTACAGTGCCCTCATTACTGGTGACAAGATGCCAGTCCTGTCCATTCATCTCTCGCTCCATCCTAAACTCCCAGATACGCGATATCCTCGCGTAGTTTTGTACGCTGCTCTGGGATATATATGATTCACGGATGTTTTGCCTTGGAATATGAAGAACTTGACACCGATAAAAGAATCTTTACTGCAGCTTGGATTTATGTTTTAAACAACGGGTGCGTCAACAACAATTTCCCCTCTTCAGCTGCTCGGCAACTCAGTTTGTTTGGCAGTCGCCGATACTCCACCCGAGGCAGAGTTTCACCTCTGACCAGATTTTGTCGGCGTCTTTGTGCCGTTACTATCAGCATCACGGCCGTGGTTTTTAATCAGAAAAATGTGGATCTCTCTGGATCATTACCGTGTCGACCTGAGGTCGTTAAAAAAACTCCTCAGAGGCATTGGAGGAGATTTGTCCCAAGATGTTGAAGGCTCTGGGTGTTGCGGTGCTGTCATGGTTCAAGTGTGTCTTCATTGTTGCATGGAGGACCAGGACAACACCTGTCTTCTTCTTCTTCTTTCAGCTTTTCCCTCTTCAGGGGTCGCCACAGCGAGTCATCCTCCTCCATCTGTCCTCACTCCATCTACCTCCATGTCCTCTCTAACCGCATCCATATATCTCCTCTTTGTCTTTTTCCTGGCAGCTGCATTTCTAACAACCTTCTACCAATATACCCACTGTCCCTCCTCTGGACATGTCCAAACCATGTCTTCTCTAACTTTATCTCCCAGTTGTTCAACCTGTGCTGTACCTCCGATGGTCTCATTTCCTCATCGTATCCATTCTTGTCACTCCTAAGGAGAACCTCAACATCTTCATTTCTGCTACTTCCAGTTATTTCTCCTGTCTTTTTTGCCAATCCCACTGTCTCCAGACCAAACAACATGGTCCTAATTTGTAAAATGTTGACCGGAGAATATGTTTAAACTGTTGACGGATCACGCTACTCAGTCACCCTGAAAACGTTGACTCCAGGATGTTAGATGGAGCTCAGACCAATCATCGAGCTTCAGCTCCAGGAGAAGCAGCATGGCTTTCATTTAAAATATATTATAAAAGTCATGCAATAGACAACATTTCTGGCAATTATTGTCCTAAATGTCCACGTTTGCTTTGTTGTATCAAAGTATCTAACAGCTCTATTCAGCTGTATTGTTTAGGGAGCCACAATTACAGTTTAAAATGTAGTTCTACTTCAGATGAACTCATTGGTGGGTCTGGTCTGAGTTCACCGTGAGCCAGATGTGGCCCCTGAACCACCAGTTTAATAGCCCAGTAATTCTGTTTTGTAGCCGGCGTTAAAGACATGATGAAGAAACGGCTGACGTGTGCAGAAAGTTGCCATTTTAAGTAAAAATGTCATAAAACGCTTGTTTTATCCGCAATGTGCTGCCGTTTTTAAATAATCTGGGATTGAATAAAGTTGCATTTTACAAAACTTAATTGGAAAAATGTGCATTTTGTCATAATTACATTTTGCCACTGATGTAGAAGAACAAGGTGTAAGAGATATGTCACCCCAATAACAAAAAAATTAGTTCACGGTTCTATTTAATTTATTAATATTTATTAACCAAAAGTAACAAATCAGATGAATAGAAGACTAAAGAAAGTGCACGTGGAGCTCCATGAAGTCAAACTACATTCACAGGTATTGCACATTTGATTCGTTGAGAGTTAAAGCTGCAGTCGGTGAACGGTTTGAGCTGACGAGGCAGACGGGCGCCGCCAGCCGAAAAATCATCGTGATGATGAAACGTGACGCTCGGCTGAAACTCCACACAGCCTCAGGCGGGAATCAGGTTCACAACTGGGTCAAGATCAAATGACTCAGACGTGCTTTATAAATAAAGGACTGGTGTTCTTTAAAGGAATGCATATCGCCCGCCGCCTTTCGTGCCATTTTAAAAAAATAAAATGAAAATCCTGATAAGAGGTGGAGCTGTCGCTGTTTTGGTCAAACCTTGTGAATTACATTATGTGTGGTCTCGGGATACTGTGAGACCTGTTAGGTTTGGGAGTACAACTCTCAGCTACTACCACACCAAATTATAGCTCAATATCTGTCAAACTGGCTGAGTTGTAGCCTTTTTTATGTTTGCTAAGTCCGCTTAGCTATGACGGCCATCTTAAATGGGGTTGAGTGCAAACGTTAATCAGCTCTAGATCTACACCCATTACTTTTTTTGAAGTTTCATTAAACACTTTTCAAATGTGCTTTATTAAAAAAATTAACTTGATTTGAAACAGTACGGCACGAATGTTAGTCAAACATTACTCTGTTATGAGCACATATTTGATCAAAGAAAGTGTGGTAATGAAAGAAGACAATAAAGTTTTAGGATTTATTCACTCTGCAACATTTAGCCTTTGATAATGGTCTTTTTGGTGATATTTAATTTTTTAATCTTCGTATCATTCCTGTTCCTTTTGCATCAGAGAAGTTGGAGTCTCCAACCAGAATGTTCTTAATTGTGAACACGTTTTTACTGGTTTTGCACGTTTTGTTTCCTGAAATTGAAGCGTCCAAACCTGACGGCCTCCTCTGCAGGAGAGGATCCTCTCGTTTTCAGCTCTGAACGCAGCGTTTTCGCAGTAATTGTGGTTTAATTGGATGTTGCCGCAAACAAAGCTGAAAACGGGGCAAAGCTGTAATTTGGGCTTCGGCACAGTTTCGTGACCCCATAGAGGATCTCACGGGGTCCTTTTATTCTTCTTAATTAACGCTTAAGTCATGAATTATTTGTTAAACATCAGATTTCTTGTTTAAGTTGCTGCTTGTGCCGTGCAGTCCTGCACCTGAGCGGCCTAGAGAGGCACGTGGGGGTGGAGAACTCCCCGATATGAGTCGGATCTTAAACGAAGCTGAAAGAAAATGACACACAAAGAGCTTGGAACAAAGAGGCTTTCTGTGCTGCATCGTCTCTGAACAACTCCTCTGTCCTCCGCTGCAGTATGATGTGTGTTTTTCTGTTTGCTCTTAAGAGGACAGTGTGTGTGTTCATATATCGTGGACAGACGCACAACCAGAACCAGAAAAAGCCAGAACAACGCGTCACTTTCCACTTTTCTATGGGTCTTTTCAGTTTCTTTGTGTCTCTTCTTGTTGAGTTTCGTCTTCCTGAGCTTAGATTTCTGGCCTCGGGACAGAGGCCTCATCGTCATGAGTCTTCTGTTCCCACGGCAACAAAGAAGCCTGAAAAAGTTTAGCTTGCTTTGCAAAAAGTCTAAATAATCAACTACAGTGGCTGTAAATGAATGTTGATGTGTTTAAAGACAGTTAATTTCATTTTATTATCACCTGTCACAAATGGCAAAAAGGTGATGCGTTTTCTGTGTGCGTGACTGTTTGTGTTTAGCGTTAGCAGAATATTTCATGAATCACTGGACAGAGTTTAATTAAACATGATAACATTTTGTAGGCAGCACCTTCCAAGATGGCTGCCACAGCCGAGCACAAAAATGGCTACAACTCCGTCAGTTTTACAGATTTTGCACTAAAATTTATTGTGGTAGTAGTTGAGGGGGATTCCCAACACATTTCTCCTCGCCTGTTAGCAAAATATCTCATGAACCGCAGAATGAATTTTAAAAACAATATGGAGTTAGCTGAAAAAGCTAAAATTTGCATAAAACCAGCTAAATAGTAGCTGAAATAGTAGAAAAAGCTGAAACTTGCAGAAATAAGCTGGAAGGATCATAACAAGCTGAAATGAGCAAAAAATAAGTTAGAAGAAGCTCAAAAATATTGTAGTTAGCATAAAGAATCTGAAAGGAGCACAAAACAGCTTAAATTAGCTGAAAATAGCTGAAAAAAAATTACATTTGCACAAGGAAGCTGAAAGAAGGTGAACCAGAACAAAATGTGAAAGGAGCAGTAAAAGGTTGTAAACACATCTGAAGGATGTAAAAGGAGCTCAATTCATTTTCTATGAGGAAAAAAAAGTTGCATAAAAGGCTAAATATTTAAAAAAGCTAAAGTTGCACCAATAATAAAAGTCATAGAAGGATTGTCCGGAAAGAGCTGAACGTTTTGATTTGATTTGTTGAAGTAGCTTGACAAGAAACACACCGAAAAACATACGGAAGAAAAACTGATCATTCACAATAGTGTGAATGATCCACAAACATTCACTCTATTAACCTCCACAAAAAATTCTATACCTTAGTGAATGTTATGGATATTGTGCTAACGCTGGGTGTGGTCGTTGCTGAGCGCTAACAGATGATGTCATAATATTTCATTTTCAAGGTTTGAGCAAAACGGTTACAACTCAGTAATTTCTGAACATACAATTCTTCAAGGACTGCAAGGCCTTAGTTTTAACTGACAGCAGTCAGGGCGTTATCAGTCTGACATGTCCGTCTTGGGTTCTCTAAGGGGAGATGAGCTGA